TCTATCTACAAAGTCTTTCTTCTTTGGATGATGCGGTGTTCTCAAATTACTAATAATTGGATCTGATGAACACATTAATCTCCTTAAAAAGTCTTCATTTGTTTTAGAACGGGAGCACTTTCTTGAAAAAGACTCCCGGAACTTCTTGAAGTCCTTGTTACGTGCTTCTTGTGCCTCTGCACTGAGCATGCCAATTGGCAAAGCCATTCGATCCACAACTTGCCAACCATGAAGAAGAATTCTGTGCAGGCTCTGTGGCATGTGGTACCATGGATACTGGTTCACATATCGTTCAGCTGTTTGCATGCAGAAGTCTCTAAATCGAGAAGTATCAATAACATATTGTGACAATAAAGTACACAAAATAACATGCAACATCTTAATGATGATGACATCTAGTTGGAGAATTTCAGCAGTCTTCTCTCCATTTTGAATTGTCGAGCAGTATTGCCAGTGTTTGAAAATACTGAACCACAAGTCCTTGGAAAATCAATTAAAAGCCCAACTTCATCACGAAGTTTCTTTTGAATTGATGTCTTTCTATCTTGATTTTTTTTTTTTTTCTGATGGTTCTCGTGTTGACCATTTCTGTGTTGTTAATTTATAGCTTATTTTGAGAAGGCATTCCATAGTTCTGATCCATGCATGGAGAGTTGAAAGGCCATAATTAAGTCCAGTTTTAGTGATTGGGATATTTTTTGCAGTATTTAAGTCATTCATTTTTTTTGGATTGCAACCACAAACTGAGCAGCATTGCGATGATTTTGTTGCTGTGGATAGTGCTGTGGCAACTTTCCCATCCACCAATGTAGTTTCAAATTTGTGCAGAACTGTTAATTTTTCATACTTTGTAGTAAATAATTTTTCTATTGAGTTGTAAAGGAATTGTTCTTCTTCTTTTAATACATCTGATGTTTCTTTTTTATAGGAGAATCTAATTGGTCTGCAAAATAAAGTGGATGATGGATGAGGGTTGGACCAAATAATCTTCTTTTCGCCATTACAATATCCAGATAACTGCAAAGGCACAATGCAAGTGAGGAATAAGCTGGTTTCATTTGTAATATTTCTGTTTTCTTCTTCTGTTGTTATTTGAGTATAAAGGCTTTGCCATCAAAGCAAACTTTGGACCTTACGGTCATTCGTTGAAGATCTTCTAAGAAGTTAATAACTTCTGCCTGACATTCTGTTAAACGTAGTGCTGTATAATTGACCAATGCTTGCATGTTGACCTCTGCAGAATAGTCAGTAACAGTCCATAGGTTATTCTCTGGAAGACAAAGTAATTTTGCTTCCCGTACATTATTATAAGCTGGATATAAATTACAGCCTTATCTTACAGCATTGTTCCTTAGGCGCTGATAATCAAACTTGCTCAGATTATTATCTAAGATGAGTGCTAAGGCTTCATTGGGAGTATTTTGAACATGTTCATCAGTTTGAGTTTTTGATAAATTTCTAACTATTTTTGCATGCTCTCTCCTTCCTTGTTTCCAAAGTTTGCAACTGCTAACAAACAACAGCTCGTTTCAAGAACATGCCAATGATTCAAGTTTTGACACTTTCCTCTTTTTAGATTTATCAGATGATTCTTCAAATGATTTACAAGGCCTGCCAAGAGATAATTTAGGTGATAATTTAGTTTCTGTATTGCATAAAGAAATTGCAAAAAGAATTATTGCATCAAGAGATAATTTAGGAGATAATTTAGTTTCTGTATTGCATAAAGAAATTGCAAAAAGAATTATTGCATAAAGAGATAATTTAGGAGATAATTTAGTTTCTGTATTGCATAAAGAAAAGATTTGTTAGGGACTAATAAAGTCTTTGCAAAGCCAGGCTAAATTTTTATCCAAAAATATATCATTGTAACGTCCACTTGCAGCCCATCGCTTTCTGTATTCAAAATTAAATTTTGAAAACTGAACCTTACATTTAGAATTGCCAAGTTGTTCACTAATAAAATTAAAAACTACCAGCTTATCTTTTTCATTTGATAATGATAATTTGTTTTCTCTTATAAATTAATGGATTCTATTAATGCTTGACATAATAAAAATAGTCTAAAGTTAAAAATAAAACAATTTATCAATAGGTTTTCATTTATTTTATGTAGAAATATTTTCTTTTAGTTATTATATTAACTATAATTAAATAGTCTTATTTTTGAATCAAAATATTCATTAAATTATAACATATTGTATTATTTTGTTCGCGATGTTATATTTTATATAAAGTATTAGGGATGGATCCAGCATTTTTTTGTGTTTGAGATAGCTAACTTCCAGACATGTAGCTAACTCCAAACATTCATATGTTTATACTTATGTCAAATAAGGATGGTTTGCAAAAAATTGCGATGATTGGAGCCTGGGAACAAAAAAAACCAAAAATTTGAGACGTACCTGCCCCAAACGTGAGAGCAACAAGTTGATAAAATATTTTTTTTACTATTCTCAACAAGACTTATATTTATCAATAAATTTTAAATTCCATTGTAAAATATTTTAGCGCTCAAAAATTATGACCATATAAAAATTGTAACCCCCTCGAATTGAGGGGGATTCAAACTTTACATGGTCATAATTTTTGAACGCTAAAATATATTTTACAATGAAATTTTAAATTTATGGATAAATATAAGTCTTGTTTAGAATAGTACAAAAAAATTTTATCAACTTGTTGCTCTCACGTTTGGGGCAGGTACTACTCAAATTTTGGGGCTTTTTTGTTCCCAGGCACCAATCATTGCAATTTTTTGCAAACCATCTTTATTTGAAATAAGTATAAACATATAAATGTTTGGAGTTTGCTCCATGTCTGGAAGTTAGCTATCCCAAACACCAAAAATGCTGGATCCACCCCTGAATATTTTAGCAAATCATCGCAAATAAAAATTAATTTAGCAAATATTAGCAGCTAAATTAAACATATTTTTATAATATGGATATAAAAGCTTCAAAATATGTATATAAAATAACAAGATGCTACAAGATCTTCTATTTTTTGTATTTTTTAAACCAAAAAATACACTTCAAATATTCTTTTAATGAAGTATTTAAAATTATTATAACTTATTTGTTTTCTTACATATTTTAATCTAACAACTCTTAAAATGCAGAAAATAGACAGTTCAACAATAAAATAATTTTCAATGCGCAATATTTAATACAGTGTTACATTATTACCATTAATTTTGTAAACAACATTGATTGCTTTATTATATATTTTTTCTAATTTACGTTCGCATATACTTTAACCACATAATTAGTCTATTCATTACAATTTTAGATGTATATAAAAGTTTTAAATTGTTTCATAATATCTATAAAAAGGTTTAAAACCATTACGACATCAAAATTCTGACTTTGATTTTTATACTTTTGTCCAGTCAGTGGCCCACTGTGGTTTGATTGCAAATTAAATTTTTTTTATTTGAAACGTAATTGTACTCAATTGCTTAGTTATTTATAATAAACTTAGTTATTTTTAATAAATTTATTTAGTTGTGTGCATTTAACATTTTTAAGTTAACAATTTTCTTTTATAAAGAAAAATTAATCAAGGGGATACCAAATAATTGATAACTCCTGTTTAATATAAGTTAACTTAATTTTGATCTTAATGGTTCGTGTTATAAAATTTATTACAAAGATTTAGTTGATGCTTTCGTCAATTTAAAGCATGAGGAAGTGTTATTATTTTGTGTCAGTAACTAAAAATGTTATGTGTTGAACTAAGAAAGGTTGATGAAAATGGTTCTGTCTTACACTGTTATGACATATGTCAGTTGTAAATTACTCAAATAATGTTAATTAGTAATTGTAAATGTTAAGTAATAGTTGGTAAATTATTTTACCTCCTCATACTTTTTATGTTAATTTTACAGGTGGAATAATATTTTCAAGCTGAAAGCGTTTTTCTAAAAGGGTATTAGTCAAGGTTTTGCAGCATTAAATTGTGGAAAACAGCCACTATAAATTAAATATGTAACAGACCGACCAAATGCCGTATTACGGGTTGCTTTTTGCTAGTATAATATTGATAGAAGAGCAAAATATTTGGTAGCCAACACAATCTTAAAGAAATTGAAAAAATCATTAAAAGAGACTCATGTTTATTTGTAAGTAAATAAAATTAAAAACGAATTTATAAACCCAATGCTTTTATTTGTTATTTAAACTTTTTAACGAGTTATCTTCGGGCATTAGAAATACGGCAGAACTATCATTATTTAAAAAAAAACTAAACAACTTTTTTTAAAAACATCATTACCTTAAATTTTACAAATAATTACGGATAATTATAATTTCTGTTTCAAGTTTTAGTTTTTTAACAGAACACATGTTGATTTTAACTGAAAGTGTATATCCTGTATAAATATCATTTTAATACATAGATAAATATTCTATGATATAATTTCTGCAAATAACAGAAAATTGGTAGACATTAAAAACATATACAAACACAAATAAAAATAAAATAATATAAAAAAAAAACTGATACATTTTAAAAGTTAAGAAACACAACCCAATTTTTTTAAATCAGTGACCATATAGTTTTAAACAATGCTAAAGCTGTTTTTGTAGTTGTATATTGGCTGCAGCTTTTTTTTTTTTTCTTGTGATGACAAGAACTTGGTAATAAATGTGTTATAACAAGCATTTTTTTTATAGCTCTATTTTTAACATGACTCTTTTCTAGCTTTAATTTACGATTTAAAACGCATAATCAAGAAGCCTTAGGGATCGTCCATATATTACGTAACGCGAAATTAAACTTTCAGACAAAAGACAAAGCATTAAAAGTTTTCCTTCGCAGAGTCATTAATTAAACCAATTATAAAAACAAGGTTTAAAGTCCAGTGAAAATCGCCGCGCAAAAGAGCAAAATGATCTCCTACTTATATTTTTAAAATAAGTTTTGCGTTGCGTAATTTATGGACGAACTCTTAATCAAAGTAACTAATTATATATTTTTTCTTTCTTTAATAGATTATTTTACAGTAATACCCTTTCATGAGTTAAATGATGCTATTAATTTAGGGTTTATAAAAAATCTTATGGTTAACTGATAGAGCAAAAGAAAATTGTTTTTGCGTCAAACAAACAAACAAACGACAGACGAGCAAACATTTTTAAGGTAAAACTTTTACAACTTTACAAATAAATCTTATTTTTTTTGATAATGAAAACAGGTTTTTGTTAGGTTTTACAAACTTGAATAAGGTAAACAGCAAACAAAACAAATAAATATATATTGTAGATTATAAATATTTATTATAAATACATTTAAAAGGTTTTTTAATTTGTATTTTTATTCAAATAAACTATTTGAAAACACATTTTAAATGTGAAACATATAAAATCAATAAAAATTTTGTGGCATTATTTTTATTAAGGTATGCGAAGTTTTAAGTAGGGTAGTCGAGACAAGCGCATTAGTTATTTTTGTTGGTTGTGTTTTTCTTTGTTTGGGAATTGACGGCTTCAAATAAGTTCGTGAGACCGTTTGAATATTATCAAAATATTTCACAAGCTGTTTAATGGATTATAATATTGTTAGAAGAGTTAATTTTTAGATAAGTTATTTGTCACTTTTTACTTTGGCTAAACGGTATGTGATAAGATACCCATGTTTCCAAATTGTTTATTTTGTAGTAAAATCCGTAAATTTTGCTAACTTATAAAATATTTCGTTCTTCCATAAATACTGTAAATATTCCTTATTTTTATTTATTTATAATTTTACGATTTTACGATATCTAATAAAAAGTAAATGGCAAGATTAAATAAAACTTTTAAAAACTTTATTTTAAAAGTTTCATCTACTGCAATAGCGAAATGTTTTAACATGGCAGCACACTTTATTTCTTTTTGATCATTTCCAGCTTGACTTTTCCACTTGGTTTAATCAACATTTTATCCATAGCTTTAAGCCATGAATGATCTAAATTTTTGCGAGCAATGCTGGGTATATGCGACACCGACATAGGCACAATGGGCATTCGTAGGTAAAGCTTTTCAAGTTTTAGATACGGTAGCGCGTGTAATATTTTTTCATGAGTTGGCATCTCTGGAATAGAAGTGAATAATTTATTTATCCATTAAAAGATTTGTCTTGTGTGAATACAAGAAGTTTAAGACTTTCAGTTGAACTAAAAACTCATCAAACTGGCACATTTCTTCTTTTATTAAAGTTATGGCAATTCACTCATATATAGATTTACAAATTAAACATATTGTATGCTTTACTTTTCTATAAACAGTGTAGACGTAAGAAATGCTGTCTGCCATTATGGATTTTACACAGAATAAAAGTTTAGTAAAACAATCTAATTTTTTTATTTTTCATTATATATATAATGCAACAAATAAAAATGAGGTGAATTATAAAACATGGTCTTCAAATTTATGGGTATGTGTCATGATCATTAGCAGCCGTGGCGCAGTAGTTAGAGTTCTGGCTCAGAACCCAGAGGTCCCAGGTTCGACGCCAGCTCTAGCCCAACAGGCGACATTGGTACGGAAGGAGGCGTGAACTTCCTGTTAAATGCTCTCCCGCGGTGCTCTATGATAAGACCGTAAGAACTTCTGGGAGCACCTAAATACATACAAAATAAAAAAATTAAAAATAAAATTTTCTTTACCCAATATAATTAAAAAACATAAAAGTTGGTCTATAACAGGAAAACGTCAAAAACTATTTATGTATTATAATGTTGATTTTATTGCCAGGCCACAAAATGCTAATCATGTGATGCATTATGCGTTAAAAAAAAAAAAAAAAAACTTTTAGATTTTTGTTTATAGGTTTAAATAAATATATGTATCAGTAGACCAATAGTCTAAAAAGTTAAGCAGAATTAAGATATAAAAATAATTGAACTTTATCTAGAAAAAAGTAATTTGGTGACAGATATTACCAAAGACAACACACTTAGAATATTTAACGAAATCGCTACTAATACTAGAGCTGTATTGAATTCGTTTTAAAAAGATAAAAATGGTACTGTTAAGCAGATTGGTTATATTCAATTGTCTCAGGAAGAACTTGTTAGATTTAAAATTAACCTTTGCTTGCAAAAAAATTCTTAATTTTTTTTAAAAAGAAGTCTCAGAGCATAAGAAATCATTGGCGTTGACGATTCTTTATAGTTGTTTTGATATGATAAACACAATTAGTCGATTTTTTTGACGTATCGAGTCGGCATGGTCGGTAAAAGGTACTTTAACTTTCTGAACTAATTTATTGTTAAAGTATTATATTAATATATAGTATTATAGCAAATTTGCTATAAGCATGTAAACTCTGTTATTATTGTTGGATTACGTTACATATACAATAGGGGTATGAATAAAAAGCACATTTATTTTTTTCGAAAATGGCATAACGGCAAAAGATGATTTTACTTGCATTAACTTAAAATAATATTACTTTTTTCCAAATTGAAAAAAAACTCCCCCACATGTGCAGATGAAAATTTAGGCCCACCTGTCTAAAAATACAAAAAATTCAAGCTTTTGCATTTATAGTATAATATAAATACAAAAACTTGAATTTTTTTCAAAGGAGGAGGAGGGGGGTGGGGGATTTTAAAATTATTTTTCGTATACTTTAAAATTAAAATATTTTTGTAAATTTTTTTACCAGTCGTTTTAAATTTTAAACAACGATAAGCTTCAACCATTAAGTTTACTTCTCCGTCTACTTTTGTTTCTGAAAGTTTCAATAAGGTCTTGAATAGAATTAGAAGGACGTTCTGCACTGTAATGTAGAACAAAAAGATCAGTGACAAATTTTTTTAAAATATTTTATAATCTAGAAATAAGTACATAATATATAGCAGTATATATATACATATATATATATATATATATATATATATATATATATATATATATATATATATATATATATATATATATATATATATATATATATATATATATATATATATATATATATATATATATATATATATATATATATATATATATATATATATATAAATATATATATATATATATATATATATATATATATATATATATATATATATATATATATATATATATATATATATATATATATATATATATATATATGCACATGGTCGCAATAAGTTCAAGTTTAATGAACTGCTTTTTAGGCAATTTGTCTAAAGTAGTATTATTTTAATAAATCATAGAAAAACCAGTTTTTATGTCCAAGTGTTATAACCTTTAAAAATACTACTTACTTCACTTTCAATTTTGCTAAATTTTTTCTTTTGATATTTTTTTAACATGTAATCCTTTCTGATCGATGAGAAAATTTACATCTTCTTGTCTACCTTTTAAAATTTGTATCCTTTAAGATAATGATTTTTTTTACTTTTCATTGAATAAATCTTATTCTTTTAACGTCACATTTTTCCCCTTAAGGTTTTGCGTTTTTTTTTTTAATTCTTTCTATTCTTTATTAAGTCAACATTCTTGTCTCTAAGCGGCATTTTAAAATTAAAAGAATTAATTTAAGATATTGTAACTAAAAACATTTATGGTATTTATATTTTTATCATAAAAACATATTGCTATATTATAAGGACAATTTAAATTTGGAAAAAAGTATTATTATTTTAAATTAATACAAGAAAAAGTTCGTTTTTTTGCCGCCGAAAAAATGAAATGTGCTTTTTAATCATATCATACGCAATTATAATTAAAACAGCTAGACATTACGTCGTTTTGGTTTGACGAGGTTCTAATTGAAATTTTTTATAATAGGAGAATTTAAAAAATAATCTTTTTTCTTTATGTTTAATTAAAACTAAACATTGTATTGTTTTTTTATTTGTTTACGTATTCTTTTTTTGAATAATGTATAAAAATACATAAAAAAATAGCAATTATATAAATATTTTTATTTAAACATTAAAAAAAAGAATAAAACATTTATTTGATGTACCCTAAATATAAAAAAAAATCGCTTTAAACCTCGTCAAAACAACGCGAGGATATCTGTACAATGCAACAGTAGAATTTGTTTCTCTGGCATGCAAAAAAAAAAAAAAAAAAAAAAATCAAAAATAGGTACAAGTTATACAAATAAAAAGAGACTCTTTTTAAATCTTTAAAATTAATTTCAAAAAGTTTTTTCAATTTATATAAAAATATTGATATCTTCCTGGCTGACCTCTCCGAAGGCTTTGGCCTCGCAGAGGCTGCCTATGCTAGACATGGTAAAGACTGCTTATAGCTAATTAGTATAAAAATTACAAAAATAATCGTCTTTCTATTTATTTGCTTTTAAAAGCGCTGTATTTATCACTTTAACATTTCTCTGAACTTAAAATGAACTAATCAATAAATTTGAAATGAATTAATCAATAAATTTGAAATGAACTAATCAATAATAAATGAAATGAACTCATCAATAATAAACAAATGAACTAATCAATAAATTTGTTAAAAATTTTAAAATTCCTTGAAATGATGTAATCATTTAATTTAAAACATATAAAAAGATGTTCTTTCTTTACTAAAAAAATACCAATATCTTAAAAAAAAAAACAATTACAATTTGCAGTCTACTCAAATCAAACAGTATAAAAACTTACTTGACTTGGCCTAACTTGAATAAACTATCGGGTAATAGATATGAACTTTGTCTATCAGAGCTGTGTAACCTGTAAGATGTTTTATCGTGTGATAAATCAGTACAGAATGAATGTTTATACAAATTATTTATTAAAATTAAAAAAACTTGGATGTCATCAAACTCTAGAATACTATTGGTCTCAGAAAAATATGATGTAATAAACTTTTGATAGATTAAAACATTGCCAAAGATATCAACGGATTGAAAACTACAACACAAAAACTTAATAAGTTATTTGACTTGACAAAATGTGAGTGAAAAATCTAATGCTATAACAAAAGCGGATGTGAAGAATTCTCTCAATGTGATTTAAATATATCAAAAAGTTGCAAAGAGATCTTTGCAAAATTTGTTTATCTAAAAAAATAAAACGAGGTATGACCAAAGTAAAGAAAAAAATTCAAGCCAAGGCTAGAAAAGCATAAATAAATAATAATATTCAATGTATCAATTTTTTTTATATTTTTAATTTATATTTAAAATAACTATAAAGGTCACAC